GCCAGTGCGCCCATCACGCTGAGACATAAGTTGACAAGTTCCATGTGCATGCAACACTGGAACGCTGTAATGTTAAAATTGCTGCTTGGCGGCATAAATTATTCTATTATTATAAATTATTCGATATGAAAATTGAACCTAAATACAAGAATCTTATTAAATAACCTTTTAGTTACATATACGCGCCAGACTATAACAAACAGTGAAGTTATTGTATGATTAAATGATTTTAATTAAGGTTAGTTTAGCAAGTTAACCTAGGTGATACCTAAACTAAGTAAAATTGCTTACTTGTATCTTAGTAATCCAAATCAGTGCTTATAGCATAATGGTTAGTCAACATATTTTATTCAATAACAATAAAACATGAATATTTAATTATGTTAGTTAGCGTCTTAACTATTCTATATGTAACGTAAAATCGACTAGTCCAATCATAGAAATAAACGGAGAAAAGTTAGACCTTGTTAATAAAGCAATTTTCTTGGGAGTGACCTTAGAGAGTAAACTTCAATGGTTTCCACATATATCTTCCCTGGCCAGCAGATTAAGCTCTGCTGCATACGCAGTTCGCAGAATACGTGAGCTTACTGATGTTAGTACTGCTAGACTAGTTTACTTTAATTACTTCCATAGTACAATGTCCTACGGGATTCTCATGTGGGGTAAAGCGGCAGATATTCAAACCATATTTGTATTGCAAAAACGAGCGATTCGTTCTGTGTACCGTCTATGCTCTCGGGTTTCTCTCAGAGAAAAGTTTAAGGAGACTCATAAGGAGATCATGACTGTGGCATCACAGTACATTTACTCAAATATTTTATATGCCCGTGAAAATATACATAATTTCAATAAGAAAGAAGATATCCATAATATTAACCTTAGAGCTAAGTCCAAACTCATGGTACCACGATTTCGTTTAACCACTTTTTTATGGGGAACTGTATATGTTTTTACAATAAGATTCCGGAGCATATATTAAGTTTATCGTTTCCTAAGTTTAATAACTGCGTTAATAATATTTTGATCGAAAAATCATATTACAACATTGAAGACTACGTGTTAGACAAAGATGTATGGAAAGACGACACGGCTCCAGAATCCACACAAATTTGAATCAAAGTGTATTCCATAGCATTTAAGTTTATTTCAAAAGAGCAATCCCTAGAGTTTCTTGCTCGTTCTTCTCAAGGAGGTCAGCGTAGGGAACGAGCAGTAGCTTAAATGTGACGTTTTCAAGTGTAAATTTATTTTACCTATGGAATAAATAATCTTTGACTTTGACTTATTATTAATATTACATAACCACAGATGCTCAATTTTCAGTGTTATTGTCATTGACTTACAAATAAATGGACGACGGGTCTAATTCAAAAACCACGAAAAAAATGTCCCAAGTCAACCTATTTAAACGTAGTCACATGTAAAGGAATATGAAAAAGCTAAAACGTTGAATTTAAATTGTAATGTCATCGCAGTACTGTCTAATTATGCTTGCTTCGCTGTCAGTCGAACAAACGAAGACTAAAGCGTGAATGACGCTCTGTATACGATTTTAACGCCCTATAAGTTCGGACACTTTTTAGCGCGGACCCGACACGTCCATATAATTGTAAGTCAATGGTTATTGTAGTTTAATCCTTATAACCAGTCTTGTATGGTTTTCTTATATTGAAACTAATTCATAGGATATATACATAGTGAACGATTTATTTTATTATACAAAAAGCTACCAAGAAAGCAAAAGAATCTATGGAAGTGTGCAATTGAACCCGTTCAGTTGAACAAACAATGTCTACTCATCTTTTGCTGGTTTGGAGTGTAGGGATATAGGGCGTTAGTGAATGCTTTTTTGTTGCGGTTAGTAGTATTAACAACTGGCGTATTGAAAGTACATCACATTTAGCAAGGAAATTAAAGAAAATACGTAAAGTGGCAGTACTTCCCTGGACTAACTCTTTCACAAGGAGCTCTCTGCTACTAAAACATATCAGATCCGCCCCTGTCTCTTACATTCTAATGAAAATTCTCCTATAATCCCGTATCTTTTTGCGCACCCAAAATGCATTGCAACCTGCAACTGCAACAACAATTAGCAACGCAGAGAAAATTAAATGAAAAAGAATAATTTCAATTTGTTGTTGTTGTTCATCATCATCTTATTTAAGAGCCAGACCCTTGTCGGTGTAGCCTCCTCCAGTCTTCACGGTTTATAGCCAGTTCTTTGACCTCTTTATGGTTGTTTCCTATGATCTTCTTTTTATTTGTTCACTTTACGCCATTCTGGTCTTCTTCTCTTTCCTTTCTCTTCTATCCTCCCCTCAATTATCATTCTTATGAGAATTTGAGATTCGTCATTACGCAACAAATGTCCAAACATTCTCCCTCGTCTCCTCTCTATTGCATTCAAAAGACTTCTCCCCAAACCTTTCCAAAACTTCCTCATTTGATCTCTTTTCAATTCATTTTAATTTTTTCATTTGCCTCCAGGGTCACATTTCAAATGACTCCAATCTCTCTCTGTATTTATTTCTTATTGTCCATGTCTCGCATCCATACAGTGCGATACTCCAGAATCTCTTTTTTTTTCAATTGTATCGGTATTTTAGAGGTGAAAATGTGTTTTTTTATTATAGGAAGCCTGTTTGGCTAGATAGACCATGCCCTAAACCCTCTTAGTAAAGAAAATCCGCGTTCTACAGTGTGGCATATGTAAATTTATAAAAGATCAAAATAATAATATGTTCTAACTATGGTAAACGAAGTAACGTCAGGTTTATTAATTTAATACTGGAAATCGATTCTCCGATAACCGCAGCTCGTTTTAATGCTGGAGCTTAATTCGGTTACAATCTATATACAGGTTGTTAGTTGCCCTTAGTTGTTAAACTGTATTTCATTGACTGAAGAATACCCCAATATTTTGGTTACGTTGCACCAAAAACCCCCGAGTATTTCCAAAAGACCGAATCAGGGAGGTCTTAGACCAACGCAATTTTTATTTATTTATTTGTATTCAGATTACAAAGACCCTTAAATACATACCTTATTAATTATTATTTACAAGTATTGTCTGCGACGTGTGACGCAATGTGGGTGACCGGTAACCGGCCTCGGAAACTCATCCTTCATGAAAGTCGATAGATGTTGAGATGGTACTCTCACCACAAATTAATTAAAATTTACACTCTATCGGGACCCCCGTGAGACATATAACAACGTCGTCGGTATCGCTGGACGTAGTAAATGATGCCACTAAGGTTACCGCTGGTGTACTTCTATTTCTTTTCCACCTCTTTGAAACCGTCCTCGTCACACTGGTCAACTCTTCTCTGTGGTACTGACGACACAACTCCTGAGATGAGTGTCCGTTTCTTTTTCTTAATGGCCAGACCACAAGTCAAGAGATAGAGAGAACCTGTACAGTACAACAAACATGGCGTCGTAAAATCGGCTGAAAACTGTGTAATAAATGAGTCACGAATTTACTATCATGAACGACTGAGAAAGAATATACTCAGAGCCAGTCTTTTAGTAGCATAAGGGCGAGTTTCTCACAGCCGCACAGCGACCGCGTGCAACATGGCAAAATACGCTGTATTTATTGGGCCTTTACGTTTTAACTTAAATGAGCATCCCGGGCGGGCGAAACTGGCTTGGCTGACCGCGCGGTTGTTATGTATTGTATTGCCTAGTAAATAGAATTCAGATTCACCGTAATATACGTCAAATCGTAGCAACAGGGCGATCCGCGCGTAAACTTTCACGTCGTGTAACTAGGCGCTTAGAGTTTGTTAAAGAATTCATCCTGGGAAGTACTGCCATCTAAGCTATTTCCGAGTATTACTGCGCTCCAGTATTGAAGGGGTAAAATTACAAGAACATGAGATTTGTCAACTTATGTCTCAGGGTGACAGGCGCAGTGACAGTGCAATTGCTATGGACAGGCGTATCGCTTAGCGCCGAGCGCACGACTTGTCAGTCCCGTAACTTGGTCTCATTAAAAAGTCTATAAAAACCATACCCTACGTTTTAGTCTCGCTGTAATCAGGTCGAAACAACAAAACACATGCATTTTAAAGGAGCTTTATTAATATTAAAAATTAAACAGCACAACTGCAATATAAATTAAAAACGTTCAGAATTATCTCCATCATGAATAACGTACCGTTTTTGTCCCGCGTTCCGTTTCAGCAAAAAGATATGAAATGTGTCCCGTAAAGTCTCGTTTATTACTTGTCCCGTTTGTCCCGCGTTTTGTTCAACTGAAAATTAATGTATGTTACGAATGTTATGGGTTAGTATTGTATTGTTTTCATTATATTGTACTTGTTGACTTGTTTCATATTGGTTATATGTTATTTGATAATAAATGGTGGGTGTGGTGATAAGGTCACATTATTGTTTTCATCTACAACCAAAGAGGGCTGATCCAAGTTTATAAAAAACATTTGTTCTATATATTTTGGTCGAATGAGTTTGGACGTTTGATATGAAATACTCTATTGGTTATTTCCGTGATATCTGAAGCGTCATCATCCTTGGGGCATAAAGCATTAAAAAAAAGAACTAAATCTGAATAATTTCCTAATCATAATCATAAAAAAATAATCTCTATCTAACTAAACATGTACATTTATATCCGTTTTATTTACTGGTATTTGTCCTATGCATTTAATTGTCTATCTATATAGTATATGAATAATTGTACATTAACGAAACAATACGGCTAACGTCGGAAGCGTTATTGAAAGACGACTACCACGAAGTATATTGACATCAAATTGATATTTTCTTAAAATGGCTGGAGTGCGTAGTAAGAAGAATAAGAAGGCCTGTATGATAAGAATAATGAATATAAATAAAACAAGAGAGGTTTGTCAGGATCGTGCTGAATGGCACCGGTAGCTTTTGCCTACCTCAATAGGAATCCAAGGCCAGCGTGATCAAAATTTTAGTACTAAGTAAAAACTGACCATTCCATTTCTTTTGTCCCACAGACCCCCCATCAGCGCCTATGATCACTGGCTACATCCCCGGTACAACACTCGCAGCAGGAACTGTACAGAAACTATCATGTATCTCCACTGGGGGTAACCCATTGGCCACGTTAACTTGGTTCAAGAACGACAAGAAGGTAAGTAAAGATCAGGTCAATGAAATGAGTCATATTAAATTTGAGGATGTTATTTATGGCCAGTGCGGAGATATGGGCCCAGATTTATGGGCACAAATTAAGAATCCTTAGTAAGATGTAATAGTAGAGCGCCTTGTGAAAGACGTCATCCGGGGAAGTATTGCCACCATAGTAAGGGTGCTAGTGAAATTACAGGCATATGGGACTTGTCAATTTTATTTGATGTCTCAGGGTAATGGTAGCAGTGATAATGCCCCTCAGATCGTTGCAATTTCAAGCTCTAATGACTACCATACAACTTATTCGCCTCGTAACTGGATATTATAAAAAAAACAATGAAAGTAAGCGAAGTTAATACTTTTAATCCATTTAAAACTTGTACCCAATTATGTGAACTTTAGACGTATGCATATTGGATATGACGCTACTTCGACAGCCCGCAATTTCGTCAGAACGCCGCTCCGACTAAATAGCATGGAATTTGCCGAAGTTATGGCCTTTTGAAGCGGTGTTAAATGTAAGTGTTAGTTGAAGGTTTACAAAATTGAGTACAGAACAAAATGTGGTATGCGATTAGGTATACTATGAATTGTAATTTGTTAGGTGACGGTGAAAACCCTATTAGTTTCATTGTTCCAATATTCATATGTAGCATTTGTTCCAGATTCACTCAATAACGAAAACGACGGATAAATCCGTGTCAGCAGAGATATCAATTCTGACTAACGTAACTGACAATCTGGCGCAGTACCGTTGTGAGGCCACTAATAGTGCGACGGAAATCCCGCTATTTGAAACCGTCACGCTCAATGTGCACTGTAAGTATGAGGATAGTTTTGTAACAATTAATATTACAGTAAGTTTCTTAAAGTTTCTCCTTCATTTTATCGCGAAGCAGGATGTTAGCCGCTGAAAAGTTGCCTGGTCTTCGGTATTTTACAGGATATATTACGGAGAGTGTACGATAGAATTACACGATTTAATTCCGCCTTCCCCTTTCCATTGTCGGGAGACATCCAGTATATAACCAGAAATAGAGACGAAATGTCATTTAATTTGTTTGAAATCTATTCTGCCATATCATTACTGTGACAACTGCGCTCCGATTGGCTAGCCCGAGTTCGAAACAATTGACGTGTGTCGTCAACTGTATTACTTCAAATCGACCAGTTAACTTGAGCTATGCTATAATGGACGAAAATTGCAAAAATACACATTTAATATTTAATTACCTATGAAATGTGATTCCGTTTGTTTTGTAATTACATATTTTGCTGTTTTTCTCAGACCACCGAATAGAACAGCATGGCATTGTTAGGGATGTTATCTTTATTACAATAAATACAGAATATTTTTTGGAATATACGGAGACGTACACACAGGTCAGTAGTTGGACTGTCTATATTTCAGTGCAAACGAGAGTTGGTTTTTATAAGAGCTGTATCGCTAATGTGTTACCAGGAATACATGGCCCTCATTTCGTCTCTATTTCTGTTTATATACTCAATGTCGGACTAGATGTAGGCTTGGTTTCCACCCCTATGTTGTGGATATTCCTAAGATTCACACGAAGCGTTACGCTTCTACATTTATATGGCGAACGGTTATGGGGCGGAATTCCCTGCCTGCAGACTTGCTCCCTGAACGTTATAACTTGGATCTTTTCAAAGCGACAGTGACTAGACATTATTTAGGTGTGCATGCTCCATCGGCGACCTCTTCGTCACTTTCATCAGGTGAGATGGAGCTCAATTGCGCACTTACAATTCGTATAAAAAAATAATCTCCAAGGCTGACATAGCCACAGAAACTCGTATGTCTCAATCAGAGAAGCACAAAAGCTTTGCAGATGATGTAATGGCCTTTACTAAACCAAAAGAGTTTGGCTCTTCGGCAAATATTACCTTCGTTAGCCGCTTTACAACTTTTGCAGTTGAGATCTTTCCTATCCAAAGCTACCACAAATTATCTTTTTATCGTATCGATGCCATGGACTTTGCAATCGTGGCTAAAGGATTTGTCAATCTGCGTAAGATTCTCGCTGATTGTTATCAGATGTACAGGGAATATGAGTTCTACGTCTTACGTCGAGGCTCTTCTTTTGCACCCTACATCATAAATTATAAAAAAGCATTACAATAAGCTGTAGCTAAAGGTTCTGAGAATAATTGTATCTACTTCCAAGAAGCGCAAGTTGTAGCCTCTAGGACTGGATAATTATTTTTCTGTTTTAACAGTTGCGCCAGAGACCGTGAAAGTTCGTGTAGAACCAGATGAGTTGAAGCCAGATGTGGAAGCTACGTTGTTCTGCGATGCTGCTTCCAGCAATCCACCCGCCACGCTTTCTTGGTGGCGAGATGGTATTCCTGTTCAAGGTAAAACTAAAAACATCAAAATGTACTTTCATATTATTTCTTCAGCGATTGTTTCCTTGGACCTATGGATATTAAACTCGACCCAATCTGGATTGTTTTTATATATTGAAAACAACCAGCGTTAATCCAGACTAATATTGTAAACGCAAAAGTAACTCTCTGTTACGTGTTTACGCCCAAGGTTAACGTGATAAGTGGCTACCGCTGAGTGCGCCGACATCGGTGCAAGCGCCCATACAAGTCTTTTATTTATGAGCATTCGGCTCCGCACGCCTGCACACGGGCAACGTTATTTTCACCTCTCTGAGCGCGTGCTTAGGTTCCTTTTTCGTCATAGTAAGCGCGTGATGTCATTAGTCAGATTTAGTATGAGAGTGATGTATCTATTACGTAGTGACTATTAAATAATCAGTGCCTAAACTGCTGAACCAAATTTGATGAATTTTAGTATGAGAAGGATGAGAAGGATATAGGCTACATTTTCTCACAAAATAAACCTTAAAGGGAGTGGAATAGTGGATGACATTTTGTATTTTTTAAATAGTACGGTAGGCTAATCGAACAAATTATTCCACGTGGGCACCAGCTAGTAAAACAAGAAAATGAGATTAAGTTCAAGTCAGTTTTCCTTTTTTAATACAATTGCCCCGGCATTTGTGAATCGATTTTGACGATTCTTTATGTGTTGGAAAGAGGGAACCTCAGTATTAGTCCCATTTCAATTTGAAAAAAATATTCCACCTCTAAGAATGACAAACTAGGGGATGAAACCGGTTTCGCGTACTTTCCGGTAAACGATTTCAGTAAAACTTGCCACGTAGATGTAATTCCACGTACTTTTGTGGTCGTTTTTTACACACTTAAAATGTACAACGATAATAATCTATTTTATGAATATGTTATATTGCTTCATCAAACGGCTTCTCATCTCCCTGTACTTAGATAAGGTCAAATAGAACCAGCACTTCAAATCTTTCTACTTTTCAGGTTTACCAATGAAGCTAAAGAAAGGTCTACACGGTGGAACAGTGTCAACGATACAGCTCAAACTAAATATCACCAAGGATATGAATGGAGCCGTATATACTTGTCAGGCTATGAACGAAGCTTTGCAGAGAAGCGTGCATGATGCACTTGCGCTTAAAGTTCTTTGTAAGTGTTGATGATATTTAAAGTTCGGTTTCTAGATTTACATTGAATAATGACTAATTATGAGAAGATGTACAATAAAGTAGTAAGGATACTCTCAAATTTAACAAACTACCAATTTATTTCACAGTTGCGCCAATATTCTCGGAAGCAAATTCGGATACGACAGTGGGTGTTAAAAACGAGGCTTTGATTATAACGTTAAGTGCGAACGCCAATCCTGCCAGTATTACTTATACATGGACCAAGGATGGTCTTCCTATTACACAAGCTTCTTACAGTGGTCCCTGTAAGTTTTATAAGTTTAATAATCGACATTTTCTTTGTAATCTGTCAGGTCGGAAATTAGTTGCCATCTTTTCCCATCGGCTTACGCAAAGATCACATTTTTCGTCTACCAACTCTTTTGGAATTTTAAAATTTAATCCTTTCTTAGACACAAATACAGCTTTATGTAACAAGGGTCGCTATTGGTACTTCTGCCATCTACTAGCAAAACATCTTTTGTGACATTTTTTATTACTACACCATCCTTTCGTACACTACTAATTGGCACACTAACACATTAACTTTATTGTTAACCTATCAAACTCATCTGATCTATCTATAAACTATTGGTCTTCCGAAGGGATTACAAGTCTGTTTTGAAAGAAACTGTTTTTGGGCTTCATTAATACTATTCAATGGTTAGATTTAAGATTAAGTTGAAGTAGGCAGCTTCAAGAAAAGTTATTATTCAAGGGCTTCTTATTCCCAGAAATCAAATATTATTTTATTATGCCTTTTTTTAATAGTTATATTTTTTATATTTTATCATGAATTTTGAGTGATTTTAACTCATGATACGGTTATCACCAATAAATTATTTTATCTCATTTGTCGTTACTAATTCCACAACCTATTTCTAGCTGATAGAATAATCTACGAAGGCAACATGTTGAACATGACGCGTTTGTCACGACACGATGCAGGAGTTTATACGTGCGAAGCTGTCAACTCCCAAGGCGCTGCGACTTTTAATGTCACCGTTTCTGTTCACTGTAAGTATATTTCAATTAGAATCTACATTAAGTTGAAAAATGTCCTTTAATTGCGGCTACTACTGCTATTTGTGCTTTCGTTCCGGATGGGATGAATTCCGATCTAAAATCGATTATACTTATTTGTTTTTAAACAAACCAACATTTCGGGCTCTTTGCAGGTCCCAGGTCCCAGTCATTCCTGACCATGGTACTTGTAAAAAGCACAAAGCGTTGGTTTGTTAAATTTATTTTGTAACCAGCGAGTGGGTACAGCTTCTAATGCCTTTCAACTTTGCACTGTCATTTACTTCTGACTTGGCATCACCTTGGCTCTTAATAATTAGCACCATTAATCTATGTATCAGCATAGATATAAAATACTTTTACAACTTTTCCAAGATCAAAATTCCAATTTGGTTGTAGATCCCGCTGGTATCAAGTCAATATCTCAGAATGGGCTAACGAACCCAAATGAAGACACTATCCTGTCGTGCATGGCAACTGGTAAGTCAAGCACCAAATTTTAGAATAGATAATTACCTACTGAAGTATAGATTCTGACCAACTGAATATCCATTCCAGTTACTCCAATAACGCGCTCCATTAGTTAATGAATAGGACCAAATTGTTCCAATTTACTGCCTCAAATGGGCATTAATATTAGAGTAGTTATGAAGTACATACAAACAGACACAATGAAGTGTACGAAACTTTAATTTTAATATCCCTTAGTACTGCTATCAAATGTAAAAGGTTAAAATAAATTTAATTTGTACAGGTAATCCACTAACAGCAGAACATATAAGATGGGAACGTAAAAACTACAACATGCACTCTCGTACAATAACTTTCGAACCCCGAAATCTTACAAGCTATCTTCACATAGAAAAAGCGACCAGGGAGGATGTAGGCAATTTCCAATGCATTGTTGACAATGGTATTGGCGGAGAAACTCGACAAGATATCATGTTGTTGGTGAAATTCAAACCGGAAATTGATAATTCACCGACATTGGCGAAGTCTGCTTCTAACACTGGACAAGTTGGAAAATTGACTTGCAAGTAAGTATATACGTTTTCTATGTAAAGTACAAGTAGCAGAAAGCAACAAGTCAACGTAAACCTAGATAACTTTAGTTTTGTTAAACGAAACGTAATGCAACCCGAGAAGTGGGCTAACGTCGTCACTTCTTGGGTGTACGAGGATGGAAGGCGTTGCCGGTACTATATTGGTTAGTTTACAAAAGAGTGATTAGGAAATTGCCAAAGACAGGGATAGTGGAGGATTGGAGGAGACATTATCCCAGCGGAAGGACACCGCTGGTTAATAATAAAAACGCATGAAACAATACAAAACCAAAACATTTCGCAAATATGAATTAATTACTTCTATTGCGAGTTATCTTGTGGTTCCTATAAACGACCATTTTCCCTTTATTCCTGTATGCATTGTAGAAAGTGACTTGTAGTCTATGTAGTAGATTGCAGCTTTACTGCGATTACTAACCCGACTACTAAGCTTGGCAAATACGGCTAAGTGCCCCGTTTGCATATTGTCCCCTAATTTGTGCTAAAGCACAAACGGACGGGCCTTGACAGAAACAAATTAGTTAGACAGTTAGATTCATATTGATTGGATTTCATATTGTGATGATATATTTATTTATATTTAATAAGAAACTGTTCAGTCCCACAGCTGAGCAATGTCCTCATTTTACATTGATTCCGGTTTTGAGCAATATCTTACCTTGTCCTTAAAATCATTAAAATTGACCTTAATTACTATCACCGCATTTAAATTAGTAACTGACTTATTTGAAAGCCCATATGATATTAATAACAACGACGTTGGAATATAATAGAATAGACATTTATTGCAACGCCACAACACATAGATACGAAAAGAAAATTATAACACAGACAAGCAAAACAAAATAAAAAGAATTAATAAACAACATAAAAAAACAATAAAACAATTTAAAATAAGACAAAAGTAACAAAAAACAAAATATAACGACTACAAATGTTGTACTGTCATTTGTGCGGTTATGGCGTACGCAAAAGTACTTCATTCAGCATAAGCTACAGCCATAATTGACCGTTGCACTGGTTTTCAATTAACCCATCAACCGAGATGAGTGTTACACCTAGTTTAGTCTGTTAAAGTGCATATGATTAAATGTCTTATACACTTTCAATGTTTGTATGCCCAATATTTGACCGGACACAGTGAAACTATATTTATTTTGTTGCATGCCAACTTTATGCAACCTGTGTTTTCATACATAAATTAATAATCAAAACCCAAAAGTTTTACTTTTCCTACGTATTTATTTCTTTGCAGTTCAGGTTTATATATTTTTCCTACTTCATCTGTGGTTATATCAAATCGTACCATTTCATCACATAAAAAAGTAACCAATTAAGTAGTAAGTACAGTTGCTGGTAGCTGTAAAGGTACCCGGTTGAAGAAAAGCTTTCATAGATTTCTCACAGATGGCGCTAGGACTGAAAAGTCGTTAAAATCAAAACAAAGATCTGTAACAAGCACATAGAAGTACTTGTGATGTCCACTGGTTCGTTCCGTGGCTTAATTGGCATAGCGTCCGATACGGTTCGCTAGGAGACCCTGATTCGAATTCAGCTGGATCGAAGGATGTTTTTCCGTTTTTGTATTAATAATTATAACAATCCAATTTCACAAAAAATAATTGAATATAATGAAACATCCTAACATTCAATAAACTTAATTAGTATTGAAGTAATTTCGGTCGCAAAATCTTTGAACCTGAAAAGATGTCATTTTGCAAATGTGGCCTTCTAATGTGGAGTAGTTATTTACATAGATGATGATAATATTACAACATTGTTCATATGACATTCCAGATGCAAAGCAGTTCCAGCACCAAACTTCACCTGGTCTAAAAACGGAGCAAAGCTTCCTGTGAACACATCAACAAAATACTTCGCAGAATTCCATAAAGTTGATCCGATTACTTACATGTCCGTGCTGTTAGTGAACGACGTGTCTTCGTCTGATTACGGCAATTACGAATGTGGCGTTAGAAATGACTTGGGATTTAGCACTACATCTGTTAAGTTGGATATTACTAGTGCACCAGGTGAGTTTTATGAGCTTCAAAATTTGAATTCAGGAATGTTAAATCCCGTTACGTAAATCTCGTTGTGATTTACATCGAGAAATTCGCAGTTAATAGGTCCCCAATTGTACGAACGCCTACCCACAAACTTGACTGAAACTCCTTTTATTGGATAATGAATACTAAATTCTATTCTTATTTCACGTCATTGTATTTTGACAATACCTTGTGTTTATTTATCTTTTTTAGTTTAACCGTGGTTATACTACTTTATTTTATATTATTATTTATATTAGTGACGATTACATCATTATCTCTTGACATTATATTTTATTGGAAGCCGTGATAGCTTAACGGTTTGACTTATCACCTCTCAGAGGCCGTGGGTTCGAATTCTCGGAATATATTTGCAAAATTTAATTTGAAATTTACCATGACTTTTGGTATATTAATTTGGTATGTTATATGGTAAATAAAACATCGTGATGAAACCTGCACGTCGAAGAAGGTTCACAATCCGAATTGGGCCAGCTTGGTGGACTATAGCCTAAACCTTCGACTGCGCGAAGACCCGTACCCAGCCGTGAATATGAGACGAATAAATGGGTTGATGAGATAATATAATTTAAATTGTAATATTGTGACATAGATAATGTGAAACAAATAAGTCTTAAAAATAATTGTATTCTATTCATAATCATCACCATCATCATCGACAGCCCAACTGTGAAGTTTGCAATAGATTGTGCCACCACAATCTTGCTCTAGTTTCACTCATATACAACCCACGACTTTTACGATGTTGACTACTCGTCTCGCTTCGGAACGTGTCACGTTTCTACTTTTATCTACTTCATTTATTACTACAGTAGTAGTACGTGGTTTATAATACTCACACTAGTAAATCTCCAAAATAAGGCAGTGGTTTTTCATAAGCCGGTTATTTTGCTTTTTTGTTTTAACTATAATTTATAATTGGTTGTAGATTTATTTTGCGTTCTTGTCAATTTCATATACTTTACTTGAGAATTCTTGAACTGTTATAATGTTTAAATTTTCATCCCTTTCTGCTTTTAAAATGCATTTTTTTCAATAAAGATTGAGTAAGGCTGTAACTAAACTAAATCGATGTTAAAAGATGTTAATTGAATATCTCCTTTATGTTTAATTCTTATTTACTTAATGAACCATTTTATATTCTCACTGTTTGATCCATTAATGCGCGTATTTAGGAAACTTAATACTAATTGGGAACATAGTTTGGATTCAGTAATTTACGTAATTTCCTTTTGACGTTTTACGATTTGTGTTGACAACTTTGAAGGACAATGATACCCTCGTTCTGAAATCCTGAAACCCTTGTATTATATGACCTTTTTTAACGACCGCTGACAACGTAATATTCGTGTGTAGATAACTATCGGGTGAAATATCGATTTCAACAAAGCCTTTAACTCTTTCGGAAGTAATTATAAGCCAGTGTGCTTGTACGCCTATTAGATTAATATTCACTTTCATTAACTGTATAAGGAAAATGTTGTAAATACATAAAATATTTGTAAATCGCAAAGAAAATTGGGTCAGTGCGGTTAACCAAGTTTGACCCAAAAACCTTGCCTTGTAGGACACAGTGCATAAGAAAAACATTTATAACAAATTTTTATTTGTTTTCAGATCAAGTAATATCAATGACTGTAACAAATGTAACACACAACTCCGTTTCTTTGAAATGGGAGCCCGGTTTTGATGGCGGATTACCTTCGTGGTATAGGATACGATATAGGTAAGAATTTGTATCATGAAATAGGCACATATACATCAGACTGAGGCACGGGAAGTCGTATAGATGCGCCAGGCTTTGTATTTCGTTAGTGTATTCTACGTTGTACTCCAAAGAACACCTTACCGAGTTTGTTAGTCATCAGTGAGCCTAAAAACATTTCGATTTCTAGTGTAATTTTTTTGCGTATGAAATAACTTTAGCCTAAAGTATGTTTTATTTTTTCAGAAAAATCTACGATGATTCATATAAATATGAAGATGTTACACCTAAAAACGCTACTACTTACACCGTTAGTGGTTTAGAAAGAAATACAGACTATGTTTTCTCTATTATGGCATTGAACAAGATTGGACAGAGCAAATATAGGCCTGATGATACGAAAACTACTACACTTAGTGAGTTTTTAATGTTTTTGTTTATATTTTTTTCAGGTTGTTTTGTATGAAAAAAGCTGAATAATTGGTAAACGTAGCATTTTTTAAATGTAAAACCATATAATATACTATAGTATCACAAATTTTATGATATTCAGTATAATGTTTTTTTTTCATGCAATACAAATAGCCTATATAAAATATCATTGATAAAGTTACTCGCTATACAATATATGCATAACGAAAAACGTGGTACAAACATAGATCCTTGAGGAACACCAATCTTCCTTGATCGTTAAAAATATAAAATATCCATTTAGGTTTGTATGTGATAAAGTACATCATCGGACAGAAAACCAGGAAACAGTTCTTGTGCTAAATTAAGACAAAATAAAACACAATTGCAATCATATTGTGATAAAAACAAGCAACGAACTCAATGGGAAGTAATTCTGAAACGAAAGATAAATCAACAACACATTCAAATTCAAATTAAGGAAAAATGTATTTTTACGAAATATTCTGTTCTTATTAAGTTTAAATACAAGTACCCTTTAAAGCTTCTCGTTTATTTTAGAATAATTAGTGAAGCTTTTTTTACATTCTGTCATGAAAGTCAAAATATTGTAAAAGGCTACCCTTATTTTAAAGCACCCTTGAATATACTTGGGGATTTCGTCTTTACAATGAATTCTTTTTTATAAGTGGCAGTTTTTATCTACATAATGTATAAGCGTAAATTCAGATCTCCCAGTGAGTTAGATTGCAACTTTTACTAAGATCTACTTCTTTATGAATAATAGACACGTTTTTGCTTATAATACGTAACCGACGATGGTACGCATCTAAAAATGTCTTAAATATGGTTAGCTTAGGGCTATTTAACTATAGTTTTCGGGAAACATTGATGCCGGTAGTGTATTCCAATACTTTGCCGCGTTACTATGACTTTACCTGACTTTTGACAGTTATGAAAAATCCTTGTTTTAGGAGATTTCTTTATTATTTAATATACAATTATAAACTAACATCGATATACAAAAACATAATGAAATAGAATATACAACATTTCAGACTTGCCAAATCATTGAAACAGCATATTATGAAACCGAACAACTTTCTCAATGGTAATGCTTTTAAAATCATGATAAAGACAGCAGTTTCATACATTTGGCTTGAGTAGGGTTACATGCCATTCCAGAGACGGGTATGTTTCTTTGTACTGAATACGTCATTAAAACGATGTTAGCTATCAACCAGAACCTTATACTGCGGATCCTTCTTTATGAAGAGGTCTACGTAGTTGGCTATTATTATTATTAATATAAACCAATAATATAAATACTTAATATACAAATTGTTTTATTCCACGCTGCACAGACGTAATCCCTTCATCAGTGCAATCGTCATCTGAGGAATATTCCTCGTACCATGTTCCTGGAGTATTTATAATAACGGGGACAATAGTTGGCACAGCACTAATTTTGCTAAATGTACTGCTGATTGGATTCTGTCTGCATCGACGGACCAATAAAAGGATTCGAGGTTTGATTTTATAGTGATGTGCCTACAACGAATTATCAATGTGTATTGTTTGTAGTGGTGACATTTTTTGTTTTTTTTTTACTGACAATGTCATTTATGTAACAATGTGAATCGGAAATTGAATTTCAAAATTTCTCTTCGTTAAAACAAAAATAATCACCACCTAATTTTTTTTTATTTCAGCTTGTAGCATTGTTTTTCTTTTTTTGCTAATTTTCTTTTTTTTTTCATTACCAGCTTCAACGGAAGCAAGTGAAATTAATGTAGTAACCACAGAGTATGTAGAGTCATCAGATGTGTCCAAATCTGTAGTTATCTACGCGTCTATCACTGGTGCTATTTTAGTTCTTGTCAATGCCGGTTTAGTTGCTTGCTTTGTTTGGAAACGACGTGTTAGGCATTTGAAAGGTGAGTTTCTCTATTTTGCATTTTTTTAAAATTTATGTTGGTAGTATTTCAATGTAAGCTTATTGTTATTACCGTTTTATCTTCTGTAAATAGTGTGTCAACATTTTAAGTGGATATATTTTCTGTAATTAATATATCAATCATGCTGTAATACTAATACAGTGTATAAAGTATAGTCTACCTTTTTTAAAGATAGAGTAAAATGACGTTTGCAGGGTTGCCAGTTTTTATAAAATTTTAAGTAGTCGTAGTAGTAGCAACTACATGCTGTCGACAGTTTTATCGATAGACTGTGAATGAAGTTAAAATTTTCAAAATTGTCTGAATTATAAATAAGACGACTTTGTTCTGATTAATAATTGCGGTATTATAATAATAATAACGCACACACTCAACATAGCCCCGCACTAGGGAAACCCTGTGTCGCGGGTGCCATGGACACACAAATAGACAACCACAAATTACATCCAAACTCACGAGAGAAATAATTGTAGGCCATACAAATATTTCTCCCGGCCCGGGAATCGAACCTGAGACCTCTGCGTGGCAGTCCGGTATGGTAACCGTTCGGCCACGGAGGCAGTTTAAGTATTGATTTGTTTATTCTTATTTTGACAGTTAGACTACTAATATCGAACTCAATTTTTATTTATATTAATGAGGACACGCGAATTTGTTTATAATAATATATATTAATGTTATTAAATATTGATATAAATTGTAAAATATATCTCGTCTTTGTATTTTTCAAAAGACATAGTTCTAAATATAGTGTATGACAAATCATATGAACCTGTACCCATGCATTTATTGCATAAGTTGAAACAACATTCAGTCGATAGTCGATGGAATATTTATCGACTGCAATCACTAGCTGCTTGTAAGCTGGCAACACTTTGCGCAATGAACTGTCATTTTACTCCATCTCCAAAAAAGACAGACTATAGTGTAAATTCATAAAAAACTAGATTCCATTATTTTTACCTGTAACTCAAAGTCTGTTCTCGAGGAAAAAAAACTTGTTGTAGATAAAAATAGTTTACCAAAACCGTTTATAGATCTTTCGTAAAGTGTACTGTTAGTCATTAATTGTTATTTTTCCTTAGAACAAGCCGGACAAGCCTCAAAATCAGCAACCATAGAAATGTACGCGCCATCGTCCTACAATGACACAATGACAGGCGAGACCCTATCATCAGTGTCAGAGAAATCTGAAACCTATTCTCAAGACGACAACGACGATAGACCACCACCACCGATACCTGAAGTACCTTTAATGCCGAATAGACATATGTTAAGTCAGGTACGTGGCTTCGTTGTGTTACTTAATTACATATATGAATATTTTTACAGCTTTTTTTTCATAGGCTACACATTACAATGGCAGCTACAAGATAAATGAGACCAAGCCAATATCATTATAACGTTTTTACGTGTGCAGGAATATTACTAACACTCCTGCGTTTTGCTCTTTCTTTTGTTACCACACAGATTTATTAAAGTTTAGAGCGATCTATTTATATAATATTTTTGTACGAAAGTAAAATCTGGTAAATTATTATCAAAAGACATGGAACAAAAGTTGTTGCTTGTATTGTTTGTTTGTCGTGGCGGGGAGGCTCTAGTAGCCGTGGTCGATTTCATCCCACGGTGAAGCTAAGAGGAACCCACGGGGCCGGCCGATGGTGCTAGGCTGGCCCGAGGAGGAGGGCGTTCCGCGCGGGGCTCGTCTGATCAGCGGGACCCCGCGGATGCGCGTTGGGAGGAGGGTCGCGGGGGGAGAGACGTTACGAGCGAGCTTGTTACAGTATTACAAATAACTCCATATGTTTTATCATTAACTCTTTCTGTTCTTCGTATCGATTTTCCTCAAGTATATAATTTGGTCTACAGCATTTAAGAAATTACTTAAATTACTGCATTTCTAAGAGCACCCCACATTCTTCCCCTATATTTTTTTATGATTTTAAATAATGGAACTTATAAGTGCCGGGTGATAAGCGACACACCTACTAATAACAGTAGCAGTGACACTCAAAGCTTTAAATCCCAAATATCTGTGAGGTTACCTATCAGAAGTCCAAAATGACATTTTCCATAAATAACATTTGCTGGAATTTTTTTTCTTCTAAACCTTACTTAACCTTTTTTTTTGACGGGGGGAAATCTTTATAGATACCCCTGAGCCCAGGGAGACTCAGAGGTTATGTGAGGACTCTCCCGACTGGAGGTCCTACCCCTCTGAAACCCCCCGGGTTTCCCTCACGCCGGTTATGTCGGCGTCGTGGGATCGGTGAACATTTACCACGACAAACCTAAGTCAAAGTCAAAGTCAAAGATTATTTATTCCATAGGTAAAATAAATTTACACTTGAAAACATCACAGTTAAGCTACTGCTCGTTCACTACGCTGACCTCCCTGAGAAGAACGAGCAAGAAACTCTAGGGATTGCTCTTTTCAAATAAACTTAAATGCTATGGAATACACTTTGAATCAAATTTGTGTGGATTCTGGAGCCATGTCGCCTTTCCATACATCTTTATCTAACACGTAGTCTTCAACTTTGTAATATGATTTTTCGATCAAAACGAACCTAATCGTGTCTTTGCAATAAACATCCAACATACCCTGAAAGAACAACGGTTTCGTTATAATTCGGTTCTCGGGGTAATGAAAATTCGAACAATCATTATTTCGGAAAAAAGAAATTCGAGTTTGTGATAGGTTACCTATCTGAGGGCACTGCCACTACACCCGTCAATCTGAAGTATTAGTTACATGAGTTATGTGACGATAAGACCTCTTTCATCGTCATTACACCTTTTGATCACACTTTTCTTTGGTCACTGGCCATTTGCTTTTGAATTATGAATCGTTTTCTAATATTTTTTCTTCGTCATTCTTACTTTGCTTCGTTCCATCGTTACTCCATACAAAATTCTCGAGGCGAGCAGATGTGCTCTTAATCATGTAACCTAACTGCTTATAAACAGTAACAATATACATATTTCATACAAATATAGGCTTACTTTTGGGGGTTGTCTAATCTGTAGAGAATTTTTTATACTATTGTACCTGTTTTTATACCATTGTTTGTAACAGCCTGTTCCTTTCTTCTTTCTTTACCTTCACCTTTTCCCTACTGTTATACCTTTTAGAATAAAATATATGGACCGCGCGTCACTTTTAAATATCAACTATCATTTGCACTAAAATCACAAATTAGAAAGCTGAAATAACACAGCGCCTGACCTGTGTGTACGTCTCCGTATTCCAAAAATATTCTGTATTTATTGTAATAAAGATAATATCTTTGGATGCCTGTTCCATTCGGTGGTATAGGGAAAACAGTGAAACATCTAATTACAAAACAAACGGAATCACATTTCATCGGTAATTAAATATTAAATATGTAAATATTATCCAATTTTCTTTCATTATATCAGAGCTCAAGTCAAACTGGTCGATTTGAAATGGAACAATTAACGACACTCGTCAATTGTTTCCAATTCGGGCTGACCAATCGGAGAGCAGTTGTCGCAGTAATGATTTGGCAGAACAGTTTTCAAACAAATTAAATGACATTTCATCTCTATTTCTGGTTATATACTCTATGGCTGGAAACTTCAACAGCATCCTTACGGCCGAAATAGGTATGGTGGCAGTACTTCCTTGTGTGAGTTATTTCACAAAGAGCTCTACAGTTACTGAAACTCATTACTACATATGTTGTGGTCGGTCTCCCAATTATATCCCCTCAGTCTCCCCATAACATTACACTACGATTTTGCAACATTCCCCGACATTTAATTAACACAGCGTTATTGAATACTGTCGAGACGTCTCTTGCAAATCTCGGAGTGTTTACACTCCTCGAATATACTCTGCATTATTTGGTTAAATCCTCCATCGTGCGGTAGCTACAGGGTTATCTTGCAAATTAATACTGCGAACACTTAGGTCAAATATTGTTCTGCAATCGCTAAGATGTGGCTGTGTTTTAATATTTACATTGAAATACTGTCTACGTTCAAGTTTTCTAAATAGGTGTGGCTCCGTCGTTTTGCGCGACTATTTCGTCAACGTCAGGGTTGAATCAGGACGGAGAAAAGTCATTCATCCCCTAATTTGCCACTCTTAGAGGTGAAATATTTTCTTCAAATTTAAATGGGACCACATCTGAGGTACCCTCTTTCCAACAAAAAAAGAATCATCAAAATCGGTTCACAAATAAGATCACAAAAGTGTTATTGCGTAACATACACACAAAAAACATACAGCCGAATTAAGAAACTCCTCTTTTTTTTAAGTCGGTAAAAAACTGCTCTAAACTAATAAGACTCAGTGCGATGATGAGATATTTTGTCGGTTATTAAAAATGCTTTAGCAGTTATTAGGCAAATTGACGGTTATCATAATAGTGGAAATTGGATTTTTTTTAAATATTGGAAAAATATCATCGAAAGGCTCATCTTGTGCGTTACTTATCAGTAGTCCGAAATTACAATTTCCAGAAATAACGTTTGTCGAAATTTCATAACCTCAAAAGTAATTTTGAGAGGAAAATGTTTTTTCTTTTAAACCTAACTTAACTCAACCTAACCGAACCTAGACGTGCCTTTGGGATAAACATTCAACATATCCTGAAAGAACAACTGTTTCGTTATAATTCGGTTTTCGGTGTAATGAAAATTCGAACAAACGTTACTTCGGACAAAAAAATTATCGACTTTGTGATAAGTTACCCATATTATGTTCTTTCTTTAAGAAATATTTTTTGAAGTTTTATTTAGATTAATTAGCAAAATAAGCTTCAACAACTTCCTGTTAAAAAAACTTTCATAGATTTGTCACAGAAAAAAGTCATTAAAAGCCATAGACAAAGATCTGCAGCAAGCATATAGAAAAAATCGCAAGGTCTGCTGGTTCCTTTCATAGCTCAGTTGGGAGAGCATCGACACGGTATCCTGATGACGCTGGTTCAAATACAGCTCGATCGAAGCAATTTTAATTATAACAAACTAGTGGATCTATTTCACAAAAATAAAAATTGAATATCATAGTAGTAAACATTTTGATATTCAACATCTCTATAGCCAATTATCCACCAAACGCGACGATTACTACTCCCATTTCAGCAGAAGCTTACATTTAGCAGACTGACAAGTAAAAGCTTTTGAGGACGCTAATCTTCTTAGCGTATAAGTATGATGTTGGTAGTATATCAAATGGTGTAGACTATTTTGACTTCATTTTAAAACAAATGTGAGGTACACAGAACGCGGGCAACGCTATAAGCGCGTATGAACGCTATACATAGACTCTTGTCGAGAAAGACGAATTTTAAGTAAAATTATAAGACTAAGAAAGTAAAATTATGAGGCTTTATCAGACGCTGAACTCGATGCTAATTTGGATTTAGATTCGTTTTTATTGTCATCGTCATTAAACTATAATTTAACATAGAACGATATGCGTCAGAACGTTATGAGCACGTGTAAACTCGGTACACAGACTCTACTAAGAAAAATGTTATTAACGGTGATCAGAAATATAGAGATTTTTGACGCTAAACTTGGTGCTCTTTTGGGTTATCATCTTTATTAACGTAGAACGCTATGCGCCTGAACTAATTAACGCTATATATGGAAGTTCGTTCTTTGTCCTGCGTACGAAATTGTTAAGTGTATAATGATGTTATATGGGTTTGGGCAGTTAATCTGTCTATTCGTTTGCCCACAAGTGTTAAATAACTAAGCAACAAATTTCTTCTCCACAGACTGACGCGTACTTAATGGACGAGCAAGGCTTGGTGATCCCGCCACCATTGGACTACCCCCCGCCAAATTATGCTGTATACGAAGGAGACCATGCGAGGACTTTGCCCCACCCCCATCGGCATAAGGATATCAGCGGACATAGTACTTTAGGCAGAAGTGCTGGTAGGCTTAATTTGAAATATTGACTTTAGTTAGTTATTTAAACTCATTTTCCACGATCTCTTCACGTACTAACTCCATTTCACACAAACTTGAGTCGTTTATTGGAAAGTTCAATAGAATTAACTGAAACTATTTTAAGGGTGAATTAACTACGTGATATAAACTGCTTTTACTAAAGACCTCTCTCAGGTCGTTAGAAAAATCGATTGTTCCATAAATTCTGGTCGATTAGATGCAACAAAGACACAGACAAATGTTTTCTTTTTTAAGATTTCAGAGGCCTGAGTGTAAATTTATAATCATTCAAACTTACCGTTAAAATTTTTTTTTAATTTTTAGTTGGCTTCAATCTAATCGGTTACGAAATTCATTATTATATTTTAAAATTCTATTTAGTATCACATTTAATTGTAGAAATATTAAAAAAAGTTGTAAAATTCGTTTTTTGTCGCTTACACTATTTCGGTAATGGCTTGAAATACAGATCGGAAAAGTTAAGAGTTCAGCGAAAACCTAAAAGTTTATTTTTGGTGAATTTATTAATAATAAAGTTGCTTTTTAAGCTGTTGTTTATCCGAACATATAGATAGACGTTATAACTTGCTTGTAATATCACAAGGTACATACGGCCAGCTGACAATTTACACGTAACCAATTTTGCGCAGGCAAACAAAACTACGTGCCTGCACCGAGTCCTATGCCGCCGCTAGACGGATCTTACTACAACATGGCTTCAGATAGATACTTGTCTTACCCGCCCCTTATTGGAGAATATTTGCATCAGCAGGTTTGTATTTTTTAACTCTTCCTCTTCTTCTTGATATTCGATAGAAGGAATTATTCTTTGTGTATATTCGACCTTTGTCTCAATAATAATAACCAACTAGTGGAGCATTTTCACGAAAGAATATAGATTTCTTAAGACGGCGACTGACTAGATCATTACAGTCTGACGTAACACGAAAATGCGCCGTTTGGCGCTGCCACTGCGCACGTTACACTGGAGCATAAGTTGACAAGTCCCATGTGCCTGTAATTTTACTAGCACCTTGGCCCTTCAAAACCGGAACGCGGTAATGTGAGCATTACCGCTTGCCGTTAGAAATATAATAATTACTTACGGACATCATAATATTCAATAAAAATAAAATGTTCTGAATTTGTTTTTATTCTCCCAACAGCAAGGCAGAACACCAACGCCACCCCAGCAGTACGGTGCCCAGCCCCTCCCCAAACCACATCTCATGAACGGAGGAGTCCCTGGAGGATCTCCTTCTCATATGGCCAGCCCGCCTCACAATTACGGAATGGACGGTGAGAAATTTAACCCAACTAGCCTGTATTTGTTTCTTGATGCTATACACAATTGCAATCAGACGATCCACCCCAAGCCGTTGTCTATCGGCACATTAAGATCTCAAATAGCTCTCTTTACCGAATGCGGAACACAGCAGTAACTGTTTTTAGGCAGCATTAAGCTACACGCCTTTCCACAACAGATGCAGTGCACTCAGAGCTTTAAATCATAAAGATCTGAGGGGCACTGCGCCCGACACACTGAGACATAAGTTGACAAGTCCCATGTGTCTGTTATTTCACCAGCACCCTTGGACATAACAGGACGAACTCTTTCACTAGAAGCTCTACTGCTACTTAAAAACGAAATTGTAACAATTGCGAAAACCAAAGAACCCAACATTCTCTGAATTGCTTTTTTTGAGTTGATGATAATATTCGTGTGCATCTTTCCTCCGAGATCACCTTTGAAATATTTTTTGAGTAAATGGACTTGGTCTTGACCACTAACTAGCCTAGGAGTAAAGATAGGGTCTACAATGGAACGAGCTCGTCTAGAAGATACATATTCAGTCGCACCTTAAGCGTCCATTACACGACGCGAAAATGCGCGGCGACCGCTCACTTACCACGCTTCCACGTACATTAATGGCGAATCCGAATTCTATTTACTAGGCAACAATATTTAAATTCCTCGAAATAATACAATCATGTGGTCGCACGTGGACAATAATTTAAGTTAAAACGTAAAAGCTAAATAAATAGAACTTACTTTGCCATGACAGTTCGTTCCATGCGGCATGTCCGCGATGAAATTTGTGTCAAATGAACGGACTCTAAAGATGCTCAGGTTGTATGTGCTCGGAAACACAGTTGCATTTAATTAAATGTCGTAGTTTCTGTGATTGCCTGTCTGCTCCGTTTTAATAATAAATACCCGTAGTTCTCTACCGGCTGATTTATTTTATTTAAACTAGTTAAAATAGTAAATTAATAACAGTAGAGCTCCTTGTGAGAGATTTCGTCCAGAGAAGTACTTCCACCTTACCTATTTCTGCCGTCAAGTAGTAATCTGAGCATAACTGCGTTTCGGTTTTAAAGGGTAAGAGTGCTGGTGAAAGTTACAGGCAGACTTTCAACTTATGTCTCAGGGTGACGGGTGCAGTGGCAGTGCCCTTCAGATCTTTGCGATTGAGAGCTCTGAATAGCTCTGAGTTACATTACTTGTTCGTCCCATTATTAATAAAATGCCAATGATAAACACTTTAATTTATTTTTTGAACTTTGTTACAGTGTCCTTAGATAGACAGTCGACTGGTGGTACACTGAGGCGACAGAGGCTCGACAAGATGGCGGTGCCGCCACCTGACGTCACAGTGCTACATCAAGGGAATTGCACGCAGGTAAATTATTTTATTTCGAAATTTTATTAAAAAAAATTCGAGTATTTTTTTCCGAAATGACGTTTATTCGAATTTTCATTACACCGAAAACCGAATTATAACGAAACCTTGTTCTTTCAGGATATGTTGGATGTTTATCGCAAAGACACGATTAGGTTCGGTAAGTTAGCTTTAAAAGAAAAAACATTTTCCTCTCAATATTACTTTCGAGGTTATGAAAATTCGAGCAAACGCTATTTCTGAAAAATGTCATTTCGGACTGCTGATAGATAACCGTTTTAAGTGACTTTGTTCATTTTTTCCTTGGTCTCTTCATATATAGACTTTTGTTTTATATAGGAAACACGGCGGTTAGAAATGTACAGAATATAAAAACAACTAGTGCAAATAATTCATATTTTAACACCTACTTCATACTTGCTCTCTTTCCACAAAAAATAAACCGCTCAATAGTTGTAATGTGGCTATGGCTTAAAAAAAAAATTTAAAAAAGTGACCCCGGTTTAACCATAAAGTCGCTGGTTCGAGTTTAGCCGGATTGAATGAATTTGTCTTTGTATTTGTGAGATTTTTGTATTTATGTACAGTGATAAGTAAAATAATTGTTTTTGTTTAAATTAGGAGAGAGAGTCGATACGTCCAATAAACACTACGCCAATTTGGACTTGTTCTGTTTTTATTTAGTTTTTTGCTTCTTTCGTTTTTTTTTCAATTTTGTTTTTTATTTCTATTTCTTTTACAAAATTCGAAGTAAAGAAATATGGCTGTTTACAAATATAACAGAAAATGACCCAAAAATAAAGTCGTGACGTAGTGTTCATTGTAGGTATCGCAGTATTCCGCAGCATAGGCACTGTCGACCGGGGTCAGGGACTCCAAGTACAAGTTGTTAATTAGTCTATTAACCTAAACCTTCTGTTTCAGCACCAACAACCCTTAACTTCAGCACCAGTGAAACAACCCCAATCCATATTGAAAGACCCATCGAGACACAAATACGGAAACCAATATGGCAGCCCAATATCCTCCAGTACGCCTCAAAGTAACTCAAGCCAAATTCTCACAGTACAAAACCTAACATCCGATGTTCCGCAGTACGGAACTATTAGAAAAGAAAACAAAAAACAGAACGTTACCATAGACGAGTCTTATAACAAAAGAAGTGAAACCCATGTAGTTTAATCACCATAAATTAAAGTGTTCGAACAATGTGAATTTAAACAAAGTGAATTAACAAACAAAAGAACACGGTGAATATATATGAGTGAAGTGTATATACGTGGACTAGATAAAATTGTAGATAGAAGTTAATTCATTGAATGTGATATGAAAGAACGAACTTTAAAGGGTGTAGTGTGTCCATGATTATAGATAGACAAGTTTTTTATGAGATTGTCCGTGTTAGTCAAGATGTTCGGAGGTTGTAATTAAAAAATATTGTTCGACTGACTTATCATTGTAATTGTAAATCTAGGCTATAAATACGTCCAAAAAAGACATAAGGGAAGAAGACATTTTTTCATTGTCCAAGTGAAATCATTTTTAGACATATATTTAGGTACTAATTATTATTAAAATTTTGATTTTTCTTCAATAACAGTTGCTTATATTGAAAATTATAAAGTTCGATTCCTGTGATGGATCTCTTTTTTAAATAAGTTGTCTTAAATTGTTACAGTAGTGTATTTCAATGTTTTTACAAAATTTATGGGAAAATTTGGAATTTACCCCGACGATCAAAATCGTCGATTGTTTTGAGAATTATTCATCTTAAATGTTAATAATGCATTTATTGTTTTTAAATAAACGTATTTTTTTATTCAGCATATTTCGTCCTATCTTGATTTGCTTAAATCAAATTTTGGCTGAATTTCTGTATTGTATTTTTTTATATAATATTGAAAAATGTGTTTTTTTTCTATAAAATTTGTTAACTGCCTACGTAATGTAGATTTTATTTGTATTCTATAAAAAAAAATATTAATAAGAATTTTTCTCCGCATTTTTACCGTTTGTAAATACATCAACATAAATACTCAAGCGCGAACTGACAATACGAAATTAATATAAGTTTTAATTATTTTTTAATTTATATCCCCGCTTAGAGAACTGTAAATAAGTAAGTGTAATTTTTCTATTAAATTAATAGCTTTTCTACTCCAAAATTTAATCGGTTTAATTAATACAGATACCAAAGTTTTAATAATTTTATTTTTAAGCTATACTTTAATTATTTTTATTTTATCTATATTTTTTTCAATTTTTCTACCGATTTGTAACAAAATAAAAACTACATTGATTTAAAAGTTTCATTATGTTTTTCTCTATAGTTAAATTTTAAAAAATCCATCCATTGACAAAATACGATTTTATATTTACAGAAAATAATTAATGTTACATTTCGAATTTGAATAAAAAATATTAATTTATAAAGATTTTTGTTTTATTTATGTTCGCCTTCCTTTTATTCCTTTTTTTACACGAGAAATCCAATTATTAAAAACATATCACTTCGAGTTTTTTTTATAGTTTCATTGTTTTGTTATTTTTGATAAAATGAGCTGAAAGTGCCAATGTTAGGTTTTAATGTTTTTCGCTTTCATTCAGGATATCCGTAGTCCTTATAAAAAAAATTTGTATTTAAAAAAAATATTGACTATAAATATGACAGCAAAATGACCTGTTTACTTATTTTGAAAAATATAACAATATTTCATTGAATTAAATACCAAATAAAAATTACGTTAAGTGTACGGTTATTCTGAATGATAAAACAATACTAGCCGTATTATACGTCCTTCTACATTTAAAAGTCATAAGTAAAATTTAGAAAAAAACGTGCCTTATACTTTTACGCCATTTTGAGAATATAATATCACTTATTGTATGCCAAAAATCTAGAAATTAAATTTACGACTTCTTAGGGTATTACGCGCTAGGTTTATATTAAGGTAATTGTCTATGGAGAGGCAAAAACTAAATTCCTTTTATCAACCGTATCAACAGTGGAAACGTACATAGAAAAACCAGTGTTCCCAGGTCCCTTGAGTCAAAAATTACAACACGTTACCTGAAAATTTACATTTTTGCTGCAAAAGTTACATTTTACAATTTCGTTTTTTCAATTAAAATTTTAACTGTAAAAGATAAATCCTAAAAATAAAAAAGTAAGTATGCTTAACAAAATTCAAGCTGTAACCACTAATTGATTGATTTTATTATGAATGCGCCATCCCTGAGTTAATTTATTGTCTAATTTGAGTGCATTCGTAAACTATTTAGGATTTACAACATTGACTTACAATTATATGGACGTCGGGTCCGCGCTAAAAAGTGTCCGAACTTATAGGGCGTTAAAATCGTATACAGAGCGTCATTCACGCTTTAGTCTCCGTTTGTTCGACTGACAGCGGAGCAAGCAAAATTAGACAGTACTGCTTTTCATGTTCCTTTACATGTCACTACGTTTAAATAGATTGTTTTTGTATTAGACCCGTCGTCCATTTATTTGTAAGTCAATGATTTAGAATAACAAATTTCATTGAATTTAAAAAACATCAACTTCCTGAAAAGATAACTGCCTACTTACATATTACGCAGAAAGGTCAAAATTTACGAAAAATTTACCCATCTGGCAACACTGAGATAAACTAAAGTGTGTTATAATTTTTATTCACGGGATGATTTGATAATTAGTACCACCAAAATTATAAAAATTTTATGAGTAAAAAGGTGACACCTTTTTTTTGCCTCTCGATAATTTAGGGAATTTTTTGAGAAAACTGCTGACTGCACTTGGCTTTTGTTCAGTATTTACTTGGAAGCAAATTACTTTCAAGAAACAAAATACGTAAAAACATGATAATGTTCACTTCCTAATATTCGTGGCAATTTTTATTATTTAAGTATAAATAATATACTTGAATATTTTAAGTAATAAAAATTGCCCTGGAAATTGGGTAGTTAATAACTAGTCCGAGAATGACCGTTGAATGATACTTGAGAAGAAAGAATTTAGTTATTGATGTATATTGTGTAGAGAGGATAAATTGTCTCGTTTCAAAGTACTATCTAAACTTTCTTTTTACGTCAACATAGAATTATGAATAAAAATGTTTATATTTTTGTTTTTTATGTATAATGCAGAAATCAATATTGCCGACGTTAGTTAAGGCACATGTGACATTAAAAAAAATTGAATACTACCGTGATCAGTAAAAAAAGGCCGATCTGTCCCTATTTTCATTTTTTCCTAGGAATGTAAAAAATTAATGAACATTAAAAATTCTAATTTAAATGTAATATAGTATTTGAAAGTTCATAAATAAAACATTTCCTCGAGAGTCGTCGCCTGGGTCATGGCTCTCAGAAGGCCCTTTGAATATCTAAACTTATTCTTTGGCGGAAATAACTGCCAGCCTTGTGATTACCAGAGGCTTCTACAAGGTGATCCGACAGCTTGTTCGCTAGAAGTTTCGTCTATGGCCCCCGTGATATTTTTACTGAAAAAGACACATAGCTGTAGCACTGAGCAAGGTTGGCGTATTTGAGCCTTTTGCGGTTCCCGGCCACTCTGGTGACAGAGCCTGCGCTGCCCACGCTTGCAAGGTCATGGGAGGGGGCTACAGTATCCATACAGGTTGCGTCCCATACTAACTGTCTCCCTAACTTCCATGGTCCGACAGTCATACCATCAGGCCTCTTACCGTCAATGCGACTGATGCCAATGGACTCGAGAACTAACGGCGGCAGAAAACCGTCACCAAGGTTTAATTTATATATCTGCGTAACGGAATGGAAGCGAGTTTTTGTAACGAAATTGTACGTAACATAATAAACTTTATGTCAAAATGTAATGTATAAACTAGGTGTGAGCCAAAAAAAACATATCAAAAAACAGAATTCAATCGGTACAATCGAGTGGCTTGGACACCGGTTTTCATGGTGCCGCCATGTCCGAGGTCCCGAGTTCGATCCCCTGCGGGGTCAATGTAGAAACTAACTTTTCTACACCGTCGCGGATGTGGTGTTTGTGGTTGTTTCCGATTTTCATAACACAAGTGGTTTAGTTACTTAGTTTGGGATCAGAGCAATGTATATGATGTTGTGTAATATTTATTTATTTATAGGTATCCCTTCTATCCGTTTTTTGTTCTTCTTCTCCTGTTCTTGTCCTTTTCACTTATTTTTCTTCTGCTTCACAAATTTGCGAAATAAAAACAATATCTAAGTCCATCATCCTTACCTTACCATACCTCAAAGCTCAGTCGCAAGAATTCTCGAACATTCTCACGAATTCTCATGAAGCAAATTTGACGCTTCCATTCCATTCCGTAGCAATTTAAATTGAGCCTAAACGAAAAAATCAACATTCGGGAAATGAACTATATTGTTTCTGAAATAAATTTTAATTTTAATAAGCAAGGTTGTACTTTTAACGTGCAATATAGTATTTAAAATGAAATATATACAAAATTACAACAAAAAATTGTCGTGCGACAATGCGATAATTTTTTGTCGTTTTTCGTCTTAGTGGCGCAGTGGTAAACAATGTGGATTTTATAGCCCCCGTATACGGGACAGTCCCATATCTTCCGACATAAGGTTTGTTTATGAGTGACCCTCCCTATCAACCTCTTGGTTATACGGGAAGGACACTATAACCTGTACAAGTAAGCCTGCACAGGGACCTTATCAGTCAGGTCCAGACTCCAGATCAGCCCACTTGCACCGACTTCATCCGGTTCTCAAAAGGTTAGACAGCTCCCGTATCTTCGACACGTATTTTGTTCAACTTCTTGGTTATGCGAGAAGGGCACTATAACCTGTGGATATACAGGGATCTTCGAAGTTCAGGTCCTGCCCCCGGATCAGCTAGTGTCCCGGGTTATCACCGACTGTTGTCACTGACTTCATCCGGTTCTCAAGAGGCCAGTGTGTCCACGTACACCTTCCTATTTTTAAAGATAGGTACTGAAGCTACTTCCCGTTGTGTATTGCATAACAAAGAGTGGCCACCGCTAAGCCGTTGATTCTAAAGTCCACTACCAGTTCTAATGTCCTTATTGGTGGCGGAGCTGTAAGGCACGATCATTTCCCGACGTCGAAAAACAGTACCCAATAACATCAACGGCTGGAGGGACCGCAGGATATCTAGCTCATCCTCTTTTAGCTATCCGGGCTAGTAGAGGCCCTGCGACCATGCCCGGACATAGCTTCCGACTTAAAGAGCAACTCACGTGACCCGCGCACCTCCTCGCCTTAGGCCTCATCTAGACACGGGATCATTTATTTTCAGGATCCGTCGTTTCAAACTAATCCTAATGACGAATTGATAGTGTATATTTTGTGAACAATTAATCTCAACGCCAAGGGAGTAGCGATGGATGGCCACGATTATCGAGACGAGATCGTCTGTATATGGAGTCCTGTAGATGAGTAGGTCTCGGGGCCGATTTTGGATTCTCGAAATTTAGAAACGGTATTTTCTAATTTTAGTGCTCTGTGTAGTACCCCAGACCTAATATCGCTGCGCTTGTATACTCAAACCACAGGGGTTTCCCTACTTTGAGATCAAGTATTGATGTGGATCACTATATTTTATCTAGCACATTGTTACCACT